GGGTTTGGAAGAAGTGGTACGAGAGGTACGGAAAGTGCTGGGGGAATTCCTCCGGGCGAATCCCAAAGCTTGGGCTCCCGTCGTATCCGCTTGGTCCATCGAACTGATGGGGCAGCTGAGCAGCAAATACGCCGGCAGGCACGGCGTGCCGCACGCCTCCAGCCTGAACGAACTCCTCCAGCTCTGGATGTCCTGCGAGGCCACCCGCTCCCTGATGGAGATTTACACCCAGTGCCTCTCCGCCATGATCGGGGGCTGCCCCGACGCCTGCGTGGACGCCCTCTTGGACACCTCGGTCCAACACTCGCCTCATTTCGACTGGGTGGTGGCTCACATCGGTTCTTCTTTCCCCAACACCATCATCAACCGCGTCCTTTCCTGCGGCCTGAAAGATTTTTGCGCCCGGGGGGTTTCCCCCGCCGGGGGGGAACCCCTTTTCCCCCCGGCCGCCGACAAACGGGCGCCCAAAATCGCCTCGGTGGTGGGGATCTTGGGCCACTTGGCCTCCCGCCACGCCGGCAGCATCAAGCAGGAGCTGCTGCGGATGTTTCACGACAGCCTGGCTCCCGCCAGGGACCAGCACCAAAAAGCCGCCGTCCCTTTCCTCCTCCAGCTCGCCGTCATGTCCCCGCCGCTCCTGGGCGCCGTCTCCTCCGAGCTGGTGGATTCCCTCAAACCCAACGTCCTCAACCAGCTCCACCAGCATTTCGCCTCCCTCCCCCGCGAGGACCTGGAGAACATGGTCGGCGTCGTCGTCCGCCTCCTCTGCCAAACCTCCGCCGGCGCTTACCGCATCTTGCAGTTTTTGGTCAACACCGCCATGCCGGCGTCCGTCATCACCCCGCCGGGTTCCAGCCTCCACGACGGCGTGCGGGAAGCCTGCGACCGCGTCATCCAACTCCTCCTCCTCAACCTCCAAAAACTGGTTTACAACCGGAACGGCCCCGCTTTGACCGATTCCCCGCCTCGCCCCGTCCCTTTTTTAGACGCCCTGAAACCGCACGTCCGGGATCTCTGCGTGGAGACCCTGCGCTTGGAACGCAAGCGGTTCCTCTGGCAGCACCAGCTTTTGGGGCTCCTGGCCGTTTATTCCCCCCCTCACTGCGCCGCCGACGCCCTCTTCTTCCTCCTGACGCTGGCCCGCACCCAGGAGGAGCTGGCCCTGGCCACCCAGCTCTACGCCGTCCTCAGCTCCTGCCTCCTCGACCTCCTCCCCGCCACCGTCAAGACCTGCGTCTGCCAGATCCACGCCGGCGGCTTGCCGGCGCCTCAGATGGTTCAGCTGTTCCGCAATTTGGCTGCGGTGGTGCGGTGGGAAGGCGGCGGGGAAGGGGGAGCGGCGGCGGCC